AGGGTCGTTGTTTATTATTTTTTGATGAAGAAGTTTCAATATATAAGCGTTTTAGTTTAATAAACCTTATTAACTTTTCATAGTATTTAGGTGGATAATTATGTATTCTTTTTTAAGTCATTTAGCTCTAAGAAATTAAAAACGTGCTAACGCTGTTGTAATAAATATTCAACGTTCTTCGCACAGCAATATATTATTATTATTATGATTACTCGTGCTAAAAAAAAACCAAAACACAAGACCTTTAACTGAAAGTAACTATACACGACTGCGGTTATTTAATGTTATATCGTAATAGATCAATTATCTAAAGATTTTTCGCAGTCTGTCGTAGCAGTAATTCGTATAGGTTAGTAGCATAATAGATCCTGCGACGACGGCTTATCGTTTCGTTGTTCACTAATCCATAAGCTGTTACGGGTCGTGTCCCAGTCCTGAGGTTCTCTCTTTTTCTCTCTTTCTTTCTCTCTCTCTCTAGACATATAATAATAAACCAATTATAGCGTACAACACTCGTGTACGTATTTACGCACACACACACACACACATATATATATATATACATTGACCGGTATCGAAAATCCGTGAAGGTTTCTTTCGGTCTCCTCGTCACTCGTCCCCGATCCGCGTACGCGTCTATTGCCGATCGGTTTTGGAGGACTGAAAAACCCGTACGGTCCGCCGAGCGTCATTTGAATAATTCCTGCATGCCGGAACGCGTGCGAGCAAAAAATTAGTTTCATAAGGGCTGCGTGCGCAATACACGTAAATGCCATTGATTGCATAATATATTGTTGATATTGGTGGTTATTGGTTACGCGGACGCGCCCGCCGGACGTCGCTGCAATTGTTGGCACTCGACGAGATAAAAAATTGCGTTAAAACCGATCAACAGTCGTTGTGTTTTTGCTGTCGATGAAAACCTTTGTTCCATCGAGCAAACGATGACGACGTATGTTATCTGCGTCCACGTTACCAGTCTAAACGATCCAACGCATATGTACATGTACATTATAAAATCGATATTAATATTATGTAGTATGACTGCGCGTGTCTCCGAAAACTTAAATATTTCCGCCGGCGAAGTAATAAGGGTATAAGTTGCGTACCGTCACGTACAACGAAAACATGTGTATTGGGTACTGCTCGCAGTGAATCGTATGAATTAAATAATATACTACACAACATTTTATAGTAATAATAATAATAATTTTGTCCACTATTAAAAAAAATTATAAAAAAAAAATAAATATTCGCTTAAGACTACAGTTATAGCAGGGAGTAGGTACTCATAACTGAAGCTAAAATAAAACAAAATTAGAAAATAAAATAATTCAATCAGAAACACACTAATACCAAATATTCCAAATATAAATAACAAAATTAATTATTATAAAATGCTTAAGGAAAAATTAATTTTATTTTTATATTTACTTTATTTTATGAGATTCAAATTTTTTATCAAAATAAATTAAAGTAACGGCTATTTACCTTTAATTTTGTAATATTATCGTACTATCCGGATCATGGGGCGTGTTTATCGCACTAATGTGTCATAGTCGTGATTGATACTATGCAATTAAGTGACGAGAACATGACATCGAACGCTGCATGTTAATATATTATTAAAGTAAGCGTTGATACATGTAACGTATTATTAGTATTTTAATAACGGGCTAATAGCGAAAATAATCTTAAAACTCCTCAACAGTGCCAGGTATTGATCTTAGAACGTACAGATACCCAACCGTATTATTTAAATTGGTAGCGCTTCCACGTTGACGCAGCCACTAAACGTTACCGTATTCATTTACATTCAACAAGATAACTGAAACAACAATTATTAAAAGGAACGACCATAAACTGCGGTTGATTATATTGTATCTATGTATCTATGTATATATGTATCATCAAATTGGATGTATAAATGACTTCTAGAAGCTGCGTCCAACTGTACGTAAACATTTTAACAATATGATGGCGTATATTTGTGTTCTAAAATCAATACTTGTATATAATTATATAAAGTGTCTATGCAAAGTGCGCAGGTAATATTTTTTCGTTTAACAATTGCACCGGATAAGCCTCATAGAGAAAAGTGTTTTCCCTCGATATCTCGTCCAAAAGTGTACAAATACAGCACTACGCGTGAAACATTAAATCTATTGACCACGCTTCATTGTAATAATTTATTGAATAATTATAATTATTCACCCCGCTGTGAGCGAGTAGTGTTTCTATATGTGTGTGTGTACAGCCGAAATGAATTAAACGGAAATACATCCTTGTTAACGTTATTAACGTTGTTTATCAATGTCAAAATTTCAATTATTTATTAACAATTCAATTAATAAACTATATAGTATGTTATATATGTACCGATAAAACGAAGTTTTGTCGGAAGAAAAATAAATATCTTTCTGCGTCGTACAAATATTATATTATGACAGTGATGGTCGTTTACTTACAGCTCGTAAATTGATTTTTGATAAAAAATTTTAAAGGACATTAAAAACACGTTTTCCGTTTCGATTTTTAATACGATTTTATATTGAAAAAATGAATTGTTATTTTTTCACTTTTCATTGGTGTTAGGTGTGTTTTAATTGTAATACTGTAATGTTTTAATATTTTTATAACTCCCTTAAAAATTATAAATATTGGAAAAAGCTGACCAAAAATCACAGATAATGTTCTTTACTTAAAGTCCTACGATAGTTCGGCTTACTGTAATATGAAATCTAGCATCATTACATCTGAACAACTGAACGAAAATTTGCTATGTTACACGTGACTGAGACAACACATGTGGGTGTTGCGTTCTTTTAATTCTTTTACAGCGCATGATACGTATAATATGTAGTTATACGAAATTGACGCACGCATTGAATTTTATTTCATGGTTTTTATGATACATTTATAATATTAATAATAATTTTAAATAAAATAACCATAAAAGTAAAAATATGTTAGTACGATGGCATTATGTATTATAATAAAACTCCAAGGGCGATAATATCAATTTTTTTTCGCTTTATCTTCCCGAAAAGCGTGTTCCCATCGTATTCGATACATTTTATTACTCATACAATCGACGCACGCGATAAGAAGAGTTATAAAATCGCATAAAATCCGAATAAAATGAATAAATGTAACGAACACATGACGTTTACCTTGGATGGAGACAAGGACGTAACTGGAAAAAAATTTCGGGGGGGAGGGGGGGGTCCGGACCCCTGGAACCCCCAGTTACGGCCTTGGATGGAGAGTATTAGAAACAAATTTCATTAAAAATCTGTCGATCACGCAATCGATGAATATTACAAACCTAATAAGTACACGTCCAGTTTATTATATGATAATTATTATTATTATATTACAGTATATTCTATGATATCCGCGTTGGTTTTATTGGAAATATTAAAGGTAATAAACCAATCAATAAAAGTGTTAAAATATTAAAAGTTTAAAACTATCATTACTTTACACCACAGCGACGTATTTCGAGGGTATGCTAGAAAATATTTATTCCCTACGGGGTCATTTTGAATCCATGATAGAATTGATACTTTGAAATATATAGACACCTATTTATTGCTTTTTTTTTAATATATAAAACTAAGTATTATATACTCGATTCTATATGATTGATAGTATATTTCTGTTTATTATTAGTATCTGATTAATTGTTTTAGTATAAACCGTTAATGTTTTAAGACACTTTACATATCGGTAAAGAAAAATACATTATATTTACACTGAACGTGATATTTTGCATTTAATTGATTAATTCTTGTTTTTATAACGAATTAATTAATATTTATTTTCCTATGTATAATAATGTTACATATAATAGTTTATTTATTAATAAATTATAGTTGTAAATGCATAAGAAGCAAAAAATAATTATGTTCAAAAAGTGTTTGAAAACAATACTTTTATAGTGTTTACTAATAAACATAATATTTCTGATACAATTTTAAAGATAGATGGAATGGCTTTTATTTAGTTTTAATCGCATCTTGATGAACAAGTAGTTTCATGATTTTTAGTTGAATCGATTCATTTTTCATAGTGATTTTGTTAACATGTTATTCAGCATTTATATCGCACAAGGATTCAATATTAACGTAGTTCCTCATCCCACCTTGATTCCCAGATCACATACAAGAACGACCGCAGCAGTAGATCGTACCAGTCAGACTCAACCAACAGATGTAACACTCTTGAAATTCAAACAGGAAAAGAAAAGAGGGAGTGAAACGAGAGAAAACCAATTCAAAATACAAAAAATAAAATAATTATCAACTTATTATCTTATTATTATTATTAACTAATTAATTGTAGGAGTACCATAACATGTTTTCACTAGTATTATTGAGCTGAAATTTTTTTTCACAAAATCATTATTTTTATTATTTATTTTACACGAACGTATTTTTATCGCAATAATTGTGATTAACCATTAAAATATATAACACATTATGTATGATAGTAAAAAAACATAAATAAATGGAAAATATCACAAAATTATATAATATTTGTCGATTATTCTTAATTAATAATATTAGAATTATCGGCAACTTAAAAAAGTCTAGATATCAGTACGGATTTAGTTTATGGTTTCATCGAAACGATGACATTAAACAGTAGACTCTAAAAATCGGAAATAATGAAAGGTGAGACGGTAGGATATAAAATGCAATTTGAATATTATTTACGAACCCATCCAAATTCAAAATTTGTATTGTACACAAACTCAAATAAATGTAATCAGAAATGCTGTTCAATTTACCTAATCTTATTGAATAAGAACGTATTACATTTAATTTTAATATCTAAAAATAACAATAGCGATCATATAATCAATTATATGTATTTATTAATTGTTATTATTGTAATTTTTGTTATTTATTGAACTATTATTATTATTATTATTATTATTTTTAATTTAATATATGTGTGTTAAAACTATAATGTTTTAATTTTTGTTTGCACAGACGTGTTCGGTCTAAAAGGCGTGCGTATTTGGAATCCGGAAGCTATCCGAGTGGGCGAGTCGTTACGGCTGTCATGCGACTACGATTTAGACGGTGTGGCGCTGTACTCGATAAAATGGTACTTTGGCGATCAAGAGTTTTACAGATTCGTGCCGAAGGAATCGCCGCCGACCAGGGTCTTTCTCCCGTTGTCTGGCGGAACATCGGTCGATGTAAGTGTTGTCATATACGTTAACAATATTAAACTCATTTACCTGTAATATTTCAATAGTTGGATAAAGATCAATGAAATAAATTAGCAAATATAGCGTTTGTGCTGTTGTATTTAAGGCCACCGTGGAACCGCACGATCTAGAATAGTATTCCAATGTCCTCGGTCGAAGTATGTATGCGTACAAAAGATGCACCAGGTTCATCGTTTTTTTTTTGTGCTATAAAACGATTTTGTTAGTACAAATGATTTGTTTTATTTTAGAGAAACTATACTAATACGTTATTGTTTATTATCGTCTTGATTCGAAACCGGTAAACTCATGTTTTTTTTTTGATTTATCAACTGTGTAGATAGATGTATAACATCGGACGACGTTTAAGTGTATAAATCAAAAATTGTTCGATGTATTTACTTATGTATGTTATAGTTTCGACAAGATTGCGAAAAATCGGTCTCTCGTCAACACTCCGCGTGTGTAAGTTCCCCAGTGAATGGCAATACACGGCGGTGTGGTGTAAAAAAATAAATATAATAACAATTGTAAATAATCTCGAGTATTACGAACAACATTTCGATAGAGTTCAAATAACGAACGGTTTGGATCCGACACGAATAACACGCTACCGCCACAAAGTTTATCCAACATATATAGTCCCCCAAGGATATTTACAGACCTTCAGTTACGACCGTTTTCGTACCCATACACGCTTACAGAAAATAAAATATAAATACGAGACGCACGCCTTACGAATTTTCGGCGTCTCACGTGCGTTTTTTTCCATAATTTTACATTTTTCGTACATATCATCGTCATCACCGAAATCATACCGTAGGCGTAAACGTGAAGTGAAATATTTTCGTCCACAGATTGTCATCGGTGATGGGCGTTAGGAGTTCGAATGCCTTGATAGATGTCAACCGTTATTACTCAGGATTATTAAAGTATTGTAAAAATATTTAATTATCGGATATTTCATTCAAAACTGCGTGCTTAATATTTAACGGTCGTTTTCCCGTATATTGTAATAATAATGGTGCGGTTTTTTTTTTTTCGAAATAAAATTTCAACAACCACCATTCAAAGCCGTGGCATGATGTAGTATTCGCACGATATATGTTATAGTATATTTTTAAAACGAAATAGGTACTACTACATTTGGTAGTACCATGAACACTATTCGGACGTTTTTGTACAAATAATATTATTCGTTTGACATTTTCTAAACTAACGATCTTCCATAACTTTTACTGTACGCCAACACACAACATTTGTCCTCATTCCAGCCGCCCTTATCTTAATCTCCGTCGTCGGTACTTATGTTGCATTAATATTCTTTTTGAACATGGTTCTTCTCTGCTCGAATATACCCGTCACAGCCTTTATCCTTATCCCTCGTTCCCATAAATTCACTCCTTTAAATAATTTTCATTTACCCGTATCGTATGATCTTTCCGTTGTTGTTAGTTTGATCATTTCTCGGACGAGCTTCAACTCCCTCACCTACATTAAAATAATTATTTTCCATTGTTATAATCCTCGGTCTTGTATACATCCACAGATGTCGGAGTCAGATGATCATTCCGTCACGTTGACCAACTTGCCGCGTGACATGTCCGGCCATTACAAGTGCGAGGTGTCCACGGACGCTCCGCTGTTTCACACGCAGATCAAAGAATCGTACATAACGATAATCGGTAAGCTTCACTGCCCGGACGAACAGTAATAGTATCAAATGTATTGTCAACGTTTGTTATTGTATTATTACATATATGGACTGTTATACATCCATGGACTGATCTAATTTTGATGAAACGCTGCACATAATTATAAATTAAAATATGTATACAATTAAAGTCGTTAATAATATCATGTAAACAGTTCACAGCGAAAATTGCTGAAAAATATACGATTTTTCAATAAATTATTTCATTGCACGGAATCACGATAAATACGATAAAAAATAAAAAACTTGAAAGACTTTTCCAAGTCAATACGTTTTCAGCCATAACGGTAGATATTTAATTTATTTTTATTACATTCCAAACTATACACGTTGTTCCCTATCGGGTAAATCCATTTTCATGTATTCCTTATCATCGTATGTTGAAATTATTTGCAATAAATCAATTTTTTTAATCAATTCATGGTTAAATCAAAAACTCGATTCAGTTCAATTTTGACGTCCTGTGAAGACATAGAATTTCTCCGTAGTTATCGTGCTATTATATCAAATTTAACTATATGGTACGAATAGCATTATATTATGTTAATCGTGCGCGTGTACGCCTAAATCAACAGGAGGTTATTTTTGTATCCAACAGATTTTTATTATGTACGGGGTGGGGAACATCGGAGATTCGATGACGATACCGTTGTGACGACCGCGTAGGGATAGAATAAAAAAATAGAAATTGCTGCCATCATGTATGACCACTAAAAAAAATTAGATATTCAGCATGGGTAATATAGTGATGTTCGCCTATGTAAAAAATGACTTGGTTTCCCGTTGGCTTATGTGTTAGGTATCGAAAGCCTTACAATAAATGATTTCCTTTTTACAGAAGAACCGCAGACGCCACCCTTGATGATTGCCGGGAAGCTCAAGTACAGCAAAGACGAATCGGTCAGCATCAACTGTACATCATACTCGGCGTTTCCCGCTACCAACCTCACGTGGTTCATAAACGACAAAAAGGTAAGCTGCGGCAGACCGCTAAAATGGAAAATCTACGTTTTTCCTATACAGACCTATATATGATAGTATAATATGGTTTAAAATTATGTAAAATTATTTTTATTGTTTTCATTGATTTACATGAATACAGATAAAACCAACAGTGTGTGGGTAGTTGGAACCTCTAATCGCATAAGTATTAAAAGGTCTTAACAAAATATAACTGAAATTAATGTTACAATAAATGGAATAATTAATGTTAAAAAATATTTAATATCAACTCTATTATAAATGCAAAAAAAAACCAAAAAATAGTAAATATCAATTTCGGCTCAACTTTCTGATATATTAAGTTTAATTAATACAATTTTTTCATACTACTAAATTGGTCATAAAACGTCGAAAAATGTACATCCAAGTCAAGAAGAAAAAAACTTAAAGTATGGTTTAAAAATAAATAGTTAACATATTTGAACCTGACAATCATGAATATTAAAATACTGCAACGATCCAACGTGTAATTTTTATCATGCCCCGAAGATATTGTTCCAGATTTATACAGCTATAAAAAAGGATAAAATATATCTGATTATTTACAAATAGATTATTGTATAATTTGAAAGATGAATAGCCAGATTTTCCAATTTATCGTATGGTCACTTTATCAGAGTGTTTAGTTACGAAAAAAAAATCATAATTTCGCGATAGTTGTTAAAAGAGCAGTTTTAGAATAATATAAGCGATAGAAAACATATAAATAGAAAATTATTCTCTTTGAAATAACCGATTCGTTGGAATTGAGGTTTTTTTTTAATCGCGCAAAGTAATAAATAAATAAATAAGGACAATTATGAGAATAATAATAAATAAAAACGCGTCGAAATCTTTGTCGCATGGTTTCAACCACGTTATTAAAACGACGCGATTTCCGTTTATTATAATAAAAATATTATGCAAATATCCACGCGTTATTTTCATATAAATAATGCACGCCATATAATCCACACTGTTCGTTAACGCACATGATACGGATGCGAGAGCATATAAAATATAAATAATAAATATAAAAAATTCATGGGCCAGTGCACATCGTATATGTACCCACGCGAAATCATGCTTACAATAGTATATCGTTAAATTGTTTTGTTTACTCCTTACCGAATAAATATTTTACTAATCGATTTGTCGTCGGAAAATACTTGTATATTATGAGCACATGAACATTGGCAAAATAGTGGCCTGCACCAACAATAATAGGCTTAGTCCAGGGACGGTAAACCTATTTTTTAGTTTTTGCGTGTTGAAAAAATTAATTAAATGGTGTAAATATGAAATAATTAAAAAATACACATGTATGAATCATAAATTTACTGTTGAATGATACTTTGCATTATATTTAAATATTTATATAAATATGTGGTTGATAGGCTATTATAATAGGTTAAAGAATAAAAATGAATAAAAGTCGATAAGCCATAATAAAATAAAATGATTCTGAACTTATTACTAAAAAGCAATATGTACCGCGGTCTACGACTATGGTTTAATACAATAGTATAAATATTATGTAATAATAGTAATGATATACAATATTATAAGTAATAATAATATCGTACAAGCTTTTATTTTTAAAAAATACTACTACTCGAAATAGTTAGATAACTATTTTTGTGTACACGTATATAAACGATCATGTACGCGGTACGCCACGTCACTTCGTTAATATAAATGCTAGTTTTTCTTATAAAAAAATCGTATAGTTTTGATGAAAATCGTTCGTTGGATCAAACGTGCGCGGTGCGGTATTGTGCAGTAAACATTCGTGGAGAATACATCCATGAATATATTTACACAAGTTATCACAATTGAAGGAAAACATTACACTGAAAAAAGAAAATGCTTGCTTTCAGAGTTCGGGTACCCGAAAGAGCATTGTAAAACATTTCAGAATAAATTACCCATAACCGTGTATTATAAAACTATAATGGTATTTATTAATTTTTTTTTTTTTATTGTTAAGTATAAAATTATTCTCGAAAAAGTAATGATCGTAGCAGGGGTTTTAAATATTACACACGACATTTTTGTGGGAAATATACATTTATATTTTTATCATTACGTATTACGAGATATTTTTCTTTTACAATTCGCTGGTATACGTACACACGAGAACGTATTACTAATTGTTATTCTAATGAACTCATAACAATCCCCAAGCCAAGTTCATACACCGAAATCTAGTGTGTTTGTTATAAACTCAATTTGCAACACATAACCTCATATCTCCGCTTTTGATTATTGTACGAGTGTGTATGTGTGTGTGTGTGTGTGTTTGTGTGTACGCGCGCGTATGTCATTACCGTGAATTTTAATTTTCTGTACGCGCAAAAACTTTAGAGACTTATTATTTTATCTTGGTAAAAATGATTCGTGGATTTCGCAACTTTCGTGAAACTAAATTGTTCAAAAACAAATCGCAATACACCTGTGAAATATAACGCCGCAGTACTTTATACGATTTCACGAAGATGGTTAGAATATCAATTATATTGCGAGAACCCTGTTGTTGTACATCAGTGTTTTTCAAACTTTTTAAATCATCATACACTGGATTATTCACAACATTTTCACTACATACGTCATCAGTCACAAATTACTTGCTAAAACCTTTTTTTTCTTTATAGAACATTATTTGTATTATTTATTTTTTCTCGCATCCCTTTACTTATGAGTAGTGGTCGGAGTTTTATAATTTTACATATTTATTTATAGTCTATGCAGTTAAATGGGAGTGAGCTATCTTGACGATTCTTGAAACACAGAATACAAAAAAAAAAAAATGTATTTTGCTTAAAAAAGCATATTTTAGGGGTTAGGAAATATTCAATACGTTAGAGAATATTTGAGAATATTTTTTAAACATTTTTATTTTTGTTAAAATTTTTTTCAAAGAAAATAATTTATACCATCCATTATTTTTATGCACATCCATGCACGTATTACGTACAGCGGCATATTGATGATATTGATTATCAAATACAATATTCAAAATATGAGTTAGTTTTATATCCTTCCAGGTTGTTTAAAAATTAATCACTAAATATCAGGGGTAATATACGTGTGGTTAAAATTCGCATTAAAACCATCAAAAAAGTTATTTTAAATCAAATTAATAATAACATTTAGTAACTGATAAATTTAAACGAAGTAATTAAATTTTTTTTTTTTACAGAAAACTGAAAGAATATTTGTATTTTTAAAGACATAAATCATCATAAATTTGATATTTTTAAAGAATATTTAGAGAATATATTGTCTTTTTTAAACGACATAAAAACATAATATTTTAAGGATTATAAAAAAATATGAGTCTTATGTATTTGTTATGGATTCCGTTTTTTCTCAGTATCCGAATTAGTCCTTTATCTTCTATGATGGTTATAATATGCCTGAAATTATATGGTCTGTAAATAATAATAGTCTCTAGTATAGTTCCTGTATTGAACTCAGAGTTCCCTGTGTCCATGAAGAATTTGCCTAACAGGCTTCTCACAGTACAATAGCGTCTTCAGTTGTCGTAACTTGGTTTCGGATTTTATGTTATGTAATCTTAATGATTAAAGTGTTGAGCCAGAAATTGAACCCTTAGTCCCTTTTGATTCCTACCACCCTGCGTTAAGTATAAAATATGTTATAATGACACCGGTTATGCCGTTTGATTTAACTCATAAATTCTTGAAATTTAACAAATGTTGCTATTATGAAATCAATAGGTACCTATCTTCCTTTAACAGGTAAATAACATTTTTTGGTCTCGATATAAACTCCTCTGTTTATGCGTTATACGATGCTCTCTATTTAATTTTAATCAAATACGTTCCTTATTCCTCATTTATTAAGTCCAGTTATTTTTTAGGTCTCCAAGTACACATAAAAGATCTTATTTTCCAAAAGAAAGAAGCATATGTGCTCTTTAAATCATCAGGTTCCTAAGTTCACTATAGAGAGTTTCCCTTCCTTTCGGCACTCTGTAAATTTGAGGCTAAAATGTGCTTCAGAAGCTTCAATTATCTTTAATGCTGAAAAGTAATTTAACAAAGAACTCAAGAATTTTTGGGTTTTTGTTAGGAAACACAGCTCACCTAATCCTATTCCAAAAATTATATCCCATAATAATACTGCAGGACTAAATGAACATCATTCTGTCAACTTGTTTTCTTCCTTTTTTTGATTCTGTATATACGTTTAAGTGAAGAATTTCTTTATAGATCATAAAAGTAGGATTAAATTTCAATATTATTAAATGTCACCATATGGCTTTTACACAACATAAATCCCCAAGTAATTTTTATTTAGGAACTAAATTGAACAACTTTGCAATAGCTACATAAATCTTTCTCTGGTTTTGTTATCGCTTAGTTCAAACTTACATATTGAGCGCAACTGTATGTCACTTAAAATCTTATATTTTATTAAACGCATAACGACAGAGTTTAAATTAGCATTTTTCCTAAAGTCACTGTACTTGTCGTTCGTTAGGCCTATCCCTGAATACAGTTCTGTAATTTGGGATGAAAACGCAAAAATGCTTGAGTAAGTACAAAATACATTTTTAAAATATGTCAGTCATGTACTTAGAATTAAATGTCCTTTTTATAATTATTTACTAGTACTGTAGCATCTCAAACTAGATTCACTGGCTGGTTGTATTTCTAACCTTAAATTTTTATCTAAATTATTAAATGGACATTGACTCACTACACTTACTCTCTCTAATTTTTTCAAATGTCCCTCCTCGCTTCACTCGACAACATACCACATATAATTAAGCTATCTCCTCCAATAATTATGGTTTAAATTAACCACATCAGTGTTGTACATTTATTACCAATTTTGATCTCTCCTTTTCAATTTCGCAAACATAACCAAGTACTTTTAAGATTATATTTCACTCTATATCATACTTGTAATTTTAATTGTATTAATATAAAATGTAAACTAAACTCATGCACGTATTTTATGCTTAAATTAAATTAAATTATTAATTTTTTTTTTTTAAATATCAATAAATACGATTTGAAAACCACCAGTGCATATCATAAAATTACAACACACTTATTTTGCAGTTCGCAGATGAAACGATACTCATTAAAGAATTATATAGTATACTAGAGTAGATGGTCAAATCAACGAGTTTTCATCAACTAAATCGAAGAAAATCCCAAGTGTGTACTATGTCAGAAATGTATAACATAGTCGCACGTAACAATTGATAAATGACCGGATTTGTTATGTGATAACGAACCCTCGATGACATGCTAATACATATAAAGTGAAAGGAAATTTATTTTATGTGAGACAATATTAAATAAACACTATACGCTACATATGGCCGATGAAGTAATTTTTTATAACAAAAACGTTTAATTGTTATTCAGTTAATCGAAATGTTTAACTTAATTAGTTCTTACCGATTATTCGTTTTAAAAACGTGTACTTCATTAAATAATTACCATTTGTCTTTCTTTTTTTTTTTTTTTTTTTTTTTGTCATTGGGATACACTTTCTTATCAAAAAATAACAATAAAATTACATTTTCATTCAGTACAACATTGCACTTACGTAATTATACAGTTGATTAAAAATGTATTAATATTAAATAATATCAATAAAAAAAAAAATGTCTACACTATACCTGAAGTCAAACTGGAACAATCGAAATTTAATAAATTTATTTCATTAGAATTTTGCATCGATAACATCGGTTATTACAACATGTGAACTGATTTATAGTAGATATACACATACTACGTGACGTTTTTCTTGGTAAACAAGCGGTTTGAGGTTAGATCTAACGGATTTCGATACGGCTATACGCTTTGAGATTTGAACATAATTAGAGTTCTAAGTAGTTTATATATCTCCACAAGCTAACTAGTAGACAAAAGCAAAATCAATGTAAAAGCAATACTTTAACTTTAAGCAAAATTAATCGTATACAACCGTATGTATTAGTTTTTTATAGATATCGAACCATATTTGTGATGTAATGTAAATTTGTGATGTCGATTTAAGCACGTTGTATGAGTTTCGAGTAGTAGGTATATAATTAGATTATGATTTACTAATTTAAATTTTTTAATTTTGTGATTTTAAATTACTTTGAATACCTTTACCTCAAAATAAGCATATATAATTAATAGTAACGATAGTATTATTATCAAAGTATAATATTTATAAGATGCTTTTTTTCAGAAGTTCTTATATTATGTCTATTATACAAGTGTTACATGTATAAAAATACAATTTAAAATCGATTAAAGTTATTTTCAAGATGAACTAAATGGACCATCGGAGATCTTATTGTATGATAAAACTAAACGGTATAATCTAAAAAGGTTTAAGTTGATGAACCATAATATCCATACATATTTAAGTAATTTATATCAAGAAAAATATTCCTATAGTTATTGTTTAACGATTATATTTTTTTAGTTTATGTAGTAAATTTAATATGCCTTTTATGTTAAATTTGAATCTATTTTCTTACAGGTTTATTTTTGAATAATAACTGAAGATAACTTTTTTATTATTATTCCTATTTATTTAGAAAATGTTCTAGTTATTTAAGTTTCGGTAATTTTAAACCCCTTATAGTAAAAGTTTATAGTTTTTACTACTCTTAAGATTCGAAAAGAAAAATTTTATTTGTAATAACTTGACGTAAATATAATATTTGTCCTCTGTTTGTTATAAATTTATCAGACTGTGTGAGTAAAAAAATACGCAAATCAATGTTGTTATTGGTATATATATATATATAATGGACATACTCAATACCATGATAGACCTGTTATTCATAATATTCTAATGTATTTGAAAAATAATTAAAATTCCTCTAATTATAAATCGTAATAAAAATTAAGTTATAATTATTGTTTTTAACAAACAAAAATTTAAGAAAAAATAACATTTTCAAATAGTATGCATCTATACCTACCGAGTTTTAGTATTTTTATTAATTAAGATACATTTCTAATTAAAATCTCCTCAACCTCTTTTTTTCTATTTCTATTTTCTTATAATTTCACTGTCATTACTTTCTTAGTCGTTATTTAATAATACTTGTGTACAATCTAGCATTACCTACTATACTTCCATGAACTTAACCAAGCTTCATTATCCATGTGCTGCAGTTTTGGTATGTTATTGATGTATTTAAATCGTTCGCAGATGGTTAGGTCGTTGAATAATAATAACAATAAATTGTCGCACTGGGATCGTTTTCGTGGGAAACAACATAGATGATTTAAATTGTTTTTAAGTTGAGGAAAAACTGAATTTCAGGTGTCGACCTTTTTAAAGTTCAATATTAAATGTATTTGGGAATTAGTGTCTCCCATCCTGAAAATAATTTAGCACATTTCACTACAGATGTGTGTACACTTAAACGAAGATCCCGAAAAAACTATAACATTGTGTTGTATATATTTCAAAAATATTTTATTTCTTATTACTATTGGTATTTATCAAATAATGATTAAGATCTATAAAGAAAAGACAATCTTCTAAAGACGAATTACGCAATATTCGAAAAACATAATACATTTTATTTGCTGTGCATGATATAAACATTGTATACCGTATAGTAATATTTTCGTGCATCTATTGAGTTTTTAAATGTTTTAACAATTTGATTGTTAACGGCTATCGATTGTAATAATTAATTTTAACGAGACTCTTTAATGTTTTTGTATATGGATTCCATAGCAGTTGTTAACGTAAATATAAAGTTGTCACGTGAAAAATGACAAAAGTCGATGGCAGCGATTATAACAATAACAATAATTATAGTAATATGAATAATCATCGTCACGTTTACATGTTACAGGTGAACAATTTGACCAAGTACATCAAGACGGTATCATGGGCCGTTAACGAAACGGACGGGCTTCAGACCAGCAGATCACGATTAGAGACGATTGCCCGGCCCGCGCTCTTTCCAGGCGGCCGCATGACTGTCCGTTGCGAGTCCAATCAGTTTCAGCTGTACAAAAAGTACTCGGTCATCGAACTGACGGACGATTCGCCCCGACTGGCCCAGATGATCAGCCCTACCACCGTGATGAGAGCGGGTGAGTCAGTTTTTTTTTTATAACGATCACTGTACCATCCGTTCGATACGGATAAATCGTTATTGCAATTTATATTCAGTACTCGAATCGGCAATGTACACAAGAAATCCGTTAAATCCGTTTGATAGCGATCATTACTTTTTTTTTTTTTAAATTAAATTTTAACGAGCTTAGATTTTTTCTGATTACTTGTTCTCAACAATAGGTTTCCTCGATCTCATAAGGTTTTCATTTGTTTTACACAATACGTATGCCAGTGCCTGATTTGTATCCGTTGATTTCATTTAAATCGTGAAAAATGTTCTTTCTAAATGGCATCCACCAAGGCGAAAAAATTATCAAAAATACAAGATATGCATATAGAAATAATAGGGTTGGTTATCATCGATATATTTAATGAGATGTTGAGCAGGATAATTAAAAGTTCGAATGAGTAAAAAGCAAAAAATTAAAAATTAATAATATACTACCGTGCACACAATAAAATACTTTGAACAATGTAATATGGAATCTTTAAAACGTATTATGTGCTTCAAAATTTTGATGTTTAAACAATAGTACCTATGAGCATTCAAAAATATTTTCTTTATAATAAATTACATTTTGAAAATAATAAATGATATTCAAAGTGTGTTTTATTTCAACAAAACAATAGTAATGGTAGCTTATATTTATTATATTTATTTATTCTTTCTCTCCTCTGATAGCAGACTTACAAGCTTCTAAAATGTCTATGAGCGATATTTTATAAACTAACGTTGTTTATCTCTATTATACTTATCGATTGTGCAATAAAATGTAATATTATTTTTGTTCTTAGAAGTATTGTTTTATTTATCTACAAAATATTTATTTATAAAAATATCAGATAAATTATCTAGTGTCAACTGTTATATTATGCTTACAGCCCTACTACCCCAACTTGAACACGAGATATTCACCTACGGAGTAGAGTCGTTGAACATTTTAACAAGAATTTTTTTTTGAAAGAAACACGGTGGAAATTCTATTTCAATGGACAGTTTTAATTGGGGATTGGCCATCTGTTATAATAGGGTGTTCGCAATCGTGAAAGTAAAATGTGCAAGCGTTCCTTTTAACAAATGTTTAAAAAGTTTAATATTAGATTGAGATTTACGCTTTTCAGAGAGTTCGTGAACAGAAATTTCATCGTATTTACTGTATTCGATTGTTATTTTAGCTTAAAATATCAATTTAAATCTATTATACATGTTTAGTTTCACTCAAAATGTAATTTTAAAAATTTAATTTTCTCAGATCAAATAATCAGAACCTGTTGCAGTTGTACAGTTTTTCATTAATATAATTTTAAAATTACTGAGATAAAAAAAAAAAAAAAAATATTTTTTAATTATTTTCAAACTAAGAATATTTAATTAACATTTAAATCATATAGGTTTATTATTTTTAAAATAGATACAAGTAAGTGTTGCGGAGGTACAAATCCAATGATCACCGAAACGGTCGATTATTAAATCACGTTTAGGATGCTGGGAGAATTCCGAGAGTAGGTTATGCGACGGTGAGATCCTAGAAAACCAAATCATAGAAGACGCGCTTCTATACGGTGTAGAAATTTTCTTAAATTATATAATATCATGTTTAAATGCATATAGTATCCACACAAAGTCCCACCGTAACGTTCTAAATTATGTTGTAAATTATGAATACGTATATCACCCAAAGAACGAAACGCATTTCAAAAGATTCAATGAGATACAGCGGGTTTCATTCGTATAATCTTAACATCACTATCGGTTCTAATCGTTATCATTGCGGTATGCGATATATATTGATCGTGATGATCAACGCGCGCGATCGCTATTGCGGAGAGTCACGTACGTTATTCGAACGATCAGACGAGAAGTATCGAATTATACAGGCGCGAGATACGGTTCGGCGGGGCTTCAGTCCTTTGCACTTGCCCCGATAACGAGTCCATCCGTACTGTGACACTAGCGACATGAATACTAACGCAAAATGTTATTTCGTACGATTGTGCGATGTTTATAGGTGGACCTCAAGCGAATGCAGCCGACCGGTCCGTTACCAGAGCCGTTTTAGTCGTGTTGGTCACATTTGTAACCGATCGGATAGCGCTGTCCTTGTCTAGATAGCTTTAAGGTTCGCAGGACACGCAATAGTCTCACAACCATCTACGCGCTCCGACGCACTGTAATTATGTTCTAATAATATACGCAGGTCGTATTCGATTTATAAGTACTTTACGTGAACAATAAACGTATGTATAAATAATTATGTATTTTATAAGTTTGTGAATTCGATTGAATATATAATGTTAAGTGTACGATTATTATTAATATTATTATAACTAATGTTATTATTAATGTTTGTGTGCCGGGAGAAGACAGATTTGTGTTTCGGCCGCAATTAAAAAAAAAAAAAAGTGTTAAAAACCCTGTGCCCAAACGACCGTAACGATCTCGTTTTCCACAGTAAAAAAAAAAAAAAAAAATCAATATATTTCGTCGATTTAGATATAATAATATTGTTTATCTACGCTACCCATACCGTCATGAATACATTTAAATATTTATCAAATTAAACTATAATATTAATTCTACTATGAAATAGATTGATTTACATTGCTAAAAAACTATCATTGTGTAATTATATATAAATTTATATTATAATGATGTTTGTGTTTTCATTAAGTTGTTTTCGTTTTTTTTGCTTAAATAAAAATTGAGTTATAAATGTTTTGATTGTTATGCATTGTTATACTTACGTGTTTTATTTGTATGTCGTCACAAATAAGTTCACTGTATCGATTATGTCATGCATTTAAAAGTTGTGAAAAGATAACTATAAGATGTTAAAATCAAATGTACCGTATAGTATTAACTGAATAAAGATTGATGATGGAAAACTTACTGGACCAAGATAATCTTTATCTTTTATGTATATTATTAAAACGTGAGGCAATTACTTTGGACTTTTATATTTGAAATTCCATTGGACTGATTTTCATGATTTTTTTTTTTTTTAATGCAAAAATGCAAGTACCCTGTGTGTAGATGAGTCATCGAATAAGAAAATTCCGAAAATTAGTTAGTAAAAAAATAGTTATTTTAATTTTTTTGGTTTATTTAGTTTATTTCATTTCATTATTTCCATTATTGCAGCGATTTTCAGTACTGCATATATTTTATGTCACATAGGTTTGAAAATCTCTTAATGTCGACGGTTTACATCGTTTAACGCAACGCGCCCGTGTATTCATCGCAACGCGCATGACCGAGGTATAATTCATCGACTTCGGGTACGAAGATTTTTACGTGTATACCTATCGATTTGTTCTTCTTGGTAATCGCAGGAACTGTCTTATTTTTATTGTTTCCTTGACAAACATGCATCATAAAATTTTCATCCACGGGATGTACCATCGTTAAATATTAACCGTCCGCTCGTTAACGGTTTTATTCGCGTCCGACGAAATTGAAGATACGCACATATATAATTCAATAATCTGATAGTATTGACGTGTTCAACGTTCTCCATTTGCAATATTTTCCTGTTACTACCGAGGTCCAATCAAATGAGACGATTTATTATTTATCGTTATCGTACCGTTACACAGAAAACACTAGGCCACCAATAATATACTCACGCGAATTTTCTCACAAGACTTGTGCGCCACCGGTTTACCGGTCTTAAGATAAGTTATCCGCAGTGCTCGACTTAAGGGGGACGCAAGGGGATGGAGTACCCCAACTAATTTTCAGAAATGTTAGCGTTCCCCTACTACTATTATGTTATAATTACAACATTTAACAAATTTTGGGGACGCTATTTTTTTTAAAAGTAAATAGAGTCCCCTTCTTTAATTATTCCAAGTCGAGCATTGGTTATCCGTACGTTGTTTTTGTTTTTCATTTTTATCCTAGATTTTAAATACGAACACCACGTTTCGACTGTAGCGTGATTTCCGTTTATTAATCTAATCATTCGTAAATGGAATATCCCGAGAATATACGCAGAAGGATAATACTCTGTACACTTTTCTCTGTGTGTAATGGTCGCGGAGCGTGTGACTTGATGGCTGTGAATAAGTTGCAGAACAACGTGTCGTTTCCGGTGTTGGAGACTAGTGAATTCCGGCACAATAATATTTTAGCCATAGGTGAATTGCGGCCCGAGTAATTATCATTACCTATGTACATATTGGCCATGCACCTGTTTCTAAAAACGCAAACAAATATTATTAATATATGAAAATATTATTGTTATTATTATAATAGTATATGATATTCTAGAAATGACAAATATTAATAATACTAGAAAATACGTTATGTTAATACATTTATATTGCGATGTTTACGTATTATATGTAATATATACATTATTGTATGACCACGAGTCGTACGTACCTTTCATAAACTCGGGTCACAACTCTTCTACGATGGACTTGATATAGTGATACATATCGTAGAAAAAGTCTTACATAAATCCGCCTTGCGCATCGCATAGTTCTCGAGAAAAAACAACAGAAAGTTGAATTATACGTTTATTCGTTATTAACGTCACCGAAATAAGTCACATGAATGCTACAGTAGCAGGAGGGGATATAATTTACGGTCCGTTTGCCTAAGAAGAGAAATAAAACGTTTAATATATTATAAGACATACGCGGATCGCCATAAAAACAACGTAAAAAAAAAAAAAATCGTGTTTTTTTACATTTTGTTTTTAAATTCCATAAATTTCCTAAAACATGAATAATATTACTGATACAACTATATAGAGCTAAATCTGTTCTAACATTGTTAACGCCACAACATCGCGGTGTCACGGTTCAATTTCTTATCCATAAATTGTGCACAGTACTGTGGTTGTATTATTATAGTATATATACATCGATATGTTATCGAAACGAAAATCAGAAATTCTATGTTAACCCTTTATGATCCTATTCGAGTTCTTGAAGTCCGAGATTCTCGCGGAAGTTAAGTCGTCCTTTATTTTGGTTTTACTACACAGGGTAGTATATTCGTAGTGAGACGATGGGGTTATTTTGTTTACAATTTTGTTCAAAAATAATATTAATATTGATATTTATTTTTTTTAAGTATTTTTTTTTTTAAGAACTAATAATAATATATACAATATCTATTGATGTTATAAAATAGGTAACATGGCTAAATTATGACACGTCTGGATTGCTTGTTTAAAGGGATAGTCTGAATGACACTGTGTAAAGTTAAACATTATTTACCACCACATAAATTATTGATAGCAATATCACACACACGGTAAACGTCTTACTCGTAGTATATGTGTCATCTTCCAATGTGTTAGGAATCGGTTTTTTATCCTCACAAATGCAAAAAACTCATTTGGACGTAATACAAAAATCAAATCTTCAACGCAAACTACCAATGGCGCACCATCTTTATCTTGATACCTCATGTAGGTATACTGTTGAAAATGAAAAAATAATTGATTTCTGTTTTGTTTAAATTAACAGAAAGAATAGTACCGACATATTTATGGCGTAAATCATATATTCATGCGATAATAGCTAAAAGTTCTAAGAATTATAAGTATAATGAAATACAGGCGATAAACCTTAAGTTGCTGTATTAACCGCTTTTTTTTTTCATTAGTACGTATTGTTATTTTTAGTTCTAGGTACGATGCACTGCTCGAGTCAAAAATATTTTAAAATGTAACGCAATATGAGACGCCGTGAGACTTGTCGTTTTTGACGGTATATTTTGCGTATACCCGCGATATAGGTTACTAAACTTAAACGTAATCGCTGTACATATGTATAAAAATAACATATACAACGGTGTAGGTATAATCATGAATATTCTCAAAGTTTTGTTCAAAAATTTTCTCATACCATATTACGTGCTTTACTATTCAATAACTTTTCAACGTTTTTCACAACATCCTTCTATGAAAATGACACGTTCAGTTCTCTACATTCAAATACCGTTAAGTTTAATAACAGTAATGTATGTGATAGATGCATTGGTTATTTAAATATTCAAATTCAATGCTGTAGCCTCATCTAACGATTGTTTACTACACGATTTTCACTTAGGTATATATTCATATATAGGATTTCAAAAATAGTAACAGGTACTTATTATGATGTAACAACATAAAATTAAATAATACACTTAGTTAAGTACGAAGTTGTGATTTTTTTAAATAGAAGTGTTAAAATAGTGTTTGAATAGTAACAATAACTTTCCTCAGACTTATACTAACCACCAGCAATTATATTTTATATTTTCTGATCAAAAAACGTGAATTAACAACGTTCTATAGAAAAAAAAAAAATCATTTTTATTTTTTCCATCAACAAATTGTATTGATTGTGTTCAATTAACGATCGCTAAGATAAAACACAGTTTGAAAGGCGTTTGAAACACGGGATTCCTCTGAAAAATTTATATTTTAAACGTTTTATATCACCACGCCCATGTATATTATAATTGGTTTGAGTTTAAAAATATTATAATTATGTGCACTTGGACAAGCTAGGAAAAATAAAACAATCTGATATATTGTATACACGTAAATGTATTTAAATTATTTAAAAATCAAACACTCGGAGCATGATATGAATAAGAGTCAAAAACGTAGTGGACCTAACGCATGATAAATAAGTTCTCTAAGATCATCGCAAAAGGTCGACGGTTGATTTTGGTCGGCGCAATTCCGGTGTGAACGTGCAAACGAATACACACAAATACTTAATAACAAATAGGTCGTAGGTACGGGGGTTTGAAAACATTTTATACTGTCATAAAATGTACAGCGAAAGTAAAAAATCCGGTAAGTTTTATCTTTATTCTTACGGCATAGTACCCGTTATGCCTGTGTAAACATTGTTATCGTGTCAAAAATATTATTTTCAGTCAACAACAAGCAGCAAAGAAAAACAAAAATAAAATAAAATTATAGTCTCTCACGACGAGCAGCGCTCACGCGTGTGCGTATGCTAAATAACAGTAGCGGCAGAAGTGTAGTGAATTAATGGTGGTAATCTACCGCAAGCTTGTACACCAAAAGTAGGAATGCATACAAAATAAATAATAACAATAATAATAACAATAGTAATAATATTATTATGATAACAGAGAAACTTGTCGGCGGTGAGATTGAAAAAATACTGCACAAGGTCGGAACGAAAATTTTCGTAACGTTTAAGTCGATATACTTGAGCATACATACCGTAGGGTTTAACGTGAGGATAGGACGTCATCGATTTTCGAATGAGTTACGGATTCATTGCATCATGACAGTAGAACGTCCTACAAGGATTTTTCTACAATCTGAAGATAGTTATGGTACGCGTTTCATACAGTACTTATCTTTTTCAACAATTTTATTCGGTTCGTCTTGGCCTAAAACTTTATGGTTCTTAATATTTATTTCGATTGACGGCGAATCTTTATACTGTTTGATTTATCATTTAAACGTGCCTATTGTCAAATTCTATAAATCATCGGTTTCT